GAACTGCGGAAATATGAAGCGGAGGGTATCCTCAACGATGATAGTGTGGAACTCGAGGATTTCGATCTCCTCCGCTGGTGGCAGGTACGTCTTCTTTTATGATTTATTCCTTGCCTCACAGCTTTTCAGTCCAAACAATACACCTGCAAGTTGCTCTACAAAACAGCACTCGATGTTTTGCCCGTTCAAGCGTCTGCTGTACCTTGCGAGCGCGTCTTCTCATCCAGTAAGGAGACTGACACACTCCGCCGCTCTTCTCTCTCCCCGGTCATGATGGAGATCCTTCAACTCCTCAAATTTATGTTTCGGAATGACCGCCTCACCTTTACAGAGGGTTTATTGTGCACAGAGGAAGAACTTTCGGTTATCGACGTTGCTCCGGAGGTCCTAGACGAGCTGTTATCAGGTGGAAAGATTGTTGAGCTCGTGGCGTTGATTGACTCTTCGTAGGGGCGGTCGAAGCAGTAGTAGTATTAATATATATTTAATTTCTAGTGCCAGTTTATTTCTCAACACATTTATAATGAATCAGACTATGATTTGTGCCCTAAACTTTGGCTCTGTAAAGATTTTGGACGGCTATACACTAAAGAACGCGAAAAATTGGAGCAGACGGCAAATCTCGCCACGGTCGCCAAAAAAGGAAATTGGTGATTGGCAGCTTGAGTTAGCTTAAGCTGAACTTCACCTTGAGTTCGGGTAAGCTTGAAACCCCATCACCTCAAGCGGAGCTCAACTCAGCTTCCGGCAGCACTAACCCCTACTAAAGATAGTGGGCATTTAAGAATTAAAACTCGGGTCACTCAGACGACGCGGTTCGATTTGACTGAGATTTGCGCACATAACGACTCATCTAGCCATAGAAACCAACCGACTCGTCACGGAAGGCCCGCATCTGCTGCACCTTCTTGATATTCCTTCAATGCAATATCAGCAGACCCCGCCTGTTCGAATCGGGCACGAGTCGTACGTTTGAGGGCTGGCTTTTTTTTTCGATCTCCCAACACCCACAGTACCGTACGCGTTACAAATTGCGAGGTACGAGCAAAACTTTGTAGCGTCTGTCTACGAGAGACTACGTACACGTAGCTCATCAAGTACTTGGTTGAATACAATTTGCGCACATAACGACTCATCTAGCCATAGAAACTAATTGACTCGTGGCGGAAGGCCCACATCTGCTGCATCTTCCAATACGAGTTCCTGAGATATTGGATACCCGCAGACCCCGCCCGTTCGATTCGGACACGAGTCCTAGTCTGGATATGTATCCTCTAACTTACTTTTTCTGGTTAAAGTTCTCCACTAGTGCTTTGCCCCGTTGTCAACTTGCCCTGTAAGTACGGAAGTCAAAGTCTCCCGCCGCGAAAAAAAAGCCTATTCATAATGGTCATCAACTTCGTCTTCCGAGTCGTACTCTAACTAAAGTACAAGTAAAACAACGAGTAAGTGAATGAATGCGTATACCAAGATACACTGCAAGAACATGCATGTAAGTAACTAATGGTGGTGGTGGTTGCCAGTCGTAAAGTGGATGTAAGTAGCAGTCATGCCAGGTAATTAACGATACAAAAACAGTTCGGTTTCTCCCCACCCTCGTCTCGTCGTGGGACACAACAGTCGTCATCTCGTGGTCGTCAACAGTAAGTAAATACAGCAGTAGGCAATCTACCCGTCTTAATCCCAATCCCAAGCCCAAGAAAATCAGCAGCATACAATTATCACCCAAACCCTACTCCCAATCATTACGATGCGCCCACCTCCACCTCGACTCCAGCTAATGCTATCGGTGGATCAGGGTGCAACTCGACGGGATCAGGATGAGGAGTGTGCGCGTGCGCGTGAACCTTCCTCCCACTCTCCCCCAGCACATAATTCAACACCACCTCCCTCGACGGCAACGCCAGTGCCTTGACGAGACTCGCGCTCATCCGGCGCACCATCACGCGTGGCCGGACCGCCCTCAGTATGGGTAGGGGGCGCTGCGGCGAGTGCCTTAGGGCGCGCAAGAGGAATGCGAGGCGGTGTGTGAATGAGTGCGAGGAGAGCCAGCCGGGGGGGTCGGAGGCATTGGCGGTGGAGGGGTAGTAGAACGGCGAGGACGAGGCCCAGCCGTCGGCGCGCGCGCGGAGGCGGCGCAGACGCAGTGTGACGCCGCCCCACTGCGGCGGCGGGGTAGTGGAGCTGGTGAGCGCAGATGCAGAGGCGGACGAGTGGCGCGCGAGGGACCGCGCGTCAGGGTAGATATCCGGCGCCAGGGGGTGTCTCGCCGACGTCGTCTTCGTCCCAATCGCACCCCCCGCGGTAGAGGCACTCCGTACCTTCCACCGCCTCACAAACCCCCTCACACACCTCGCAAACCACATCGCATGCAGCGGGAACACGCCGGCGAGGATGAGGGCGGGGGCACGCGTGGCGGGGGTGCGGGCGTAGGAGAAGAGGAGGACGAGGTGGAGGAGTATGCGCGTGAGGAGGAAGGTGAGGGCGGAGAGGGTGTTGGAGCGGAGGAGGGGGAGGAGGGTGGAGAGGCCGAGGAGGGTTGGGAGCTGGGTGGGTGTTAGTGGTTGTTGGGCAAGCGGTGAGGGAGGAGAGGAGGGAGGAGGAGAGGGAGAGTAGCGCGAGGAGGATGTGGGCTATAACGCGGGCCATAACGCGGGCTATAACGCGAGGAGTAGCGCGATCGATAACGCGAGGAGTAGCGCGAAGAATAACGCGAAGTGGAGCGCAAGGAATAACACGACGAGGCAACGCCAAGAGGTAACAAGACGTAAAGAACTTACCTCCATACACGCGGCAAAGCAAAAGATATGCGCCCACGCGCAGCGGATCGCGATCTCCGTAATGCACAGATACACGGCATGGTGCACCCAGCCCGTCAGCACGCCGATCTGGTCGCGGTAGTACATCCCGCCCATGAACATGTCGCTGCTCACTGATCAATAAACGAGCTAGCAACGCAGAGGCGACGTACGCGGCGAGGTACGCCTGGGCGATCCAGTCAGCTGAAAACGCGGAGCAGGGGTCGAAGGAGCAGCGTACCTGGAAGAACCGATTGACGGCGACGGCGGCGAGGGTGCGGAGCTGTACGTCTGCGACGCCGCCGCCTGCGCACAGGGCGAGCGCGTAGTCGCGCACGAAGGGGAGGGAGGCGAGAGTCATGACCGCGCTGGCGATCGTCGTGAGGATCCACGCGCGCTGGCGCGGGGACGGGAAGAAGGGGCTGAGGGCGGGGTAGGAGGCGCAGAGGGTGAGGAAGGCGGGGAGGAACACGGGAGTCGTGGACAGGGATACGCTGAAGTCGGAGAGGTTGATGAGACTGAAGACTGGGGGCGCGGCAGCCGACATGGTGAGCGGAGACGGCGGGATGAGCCCGCTGGGAGAGGATAAGTATGCACTCTGTCGGGCGTGCGCAGGATGGCTGAGGATTAAAAGGACTGGATGCACACGTTTGATAAGCCAGAAGCCGTGGCCTAAAGGGTGCTCGCCTGTATCACCCACCCTGCATCGGCCGCGCGGTCCGATGCCCGACCAACGTGCGCTTCTGCCTTCAGCGGGCCCCAGCGACGGCGAGAAGGCGGTAGACATATCTAGTGTCATATACTCTGCGGGGCGATTTTTGAGTAACAGCGCCGCGTATCAGAATGAAGACCCAGAAGAGCGTCCGAGTCCCAGAGAAGCTGCCTGCGCCGGTGTTATTGCCTGCGGCCCCGCAATCGTTTGTCGTTTAACCACCCCAGACTAGCTTCGATAGGCATCGTCCCAGATGTTCGCTCCATATAAACAGATCGTGTCAACGCAGTCGCGCCTCATCGATTCGTTCGTCGCGTCGCGGCGTATCCCTGTACCAGCAATTAACGCCCTGCGCAATTGGAATTATTCCAAAACCGTAAAAAGCGCACCTGGGTAATTGAATGAATAATGCGAGACTAACGCACAAACGTGGGCCTTCCCTTTCTGCTTCGCAGATCCGCGCTCCTGGCGACGCGGAAGGACTTCAACAGCGAGAAGAAAAGGCCCGGACCATGGCCAATAAAGCACGAGCGAGATAAAGGAGGCTTCACGAGGCCACACAAAAGCAGGAAGGAAGCCTGAAGGATGATTCGGTGCATGCGTACACTGTCAAGCACGTGAGGGCGGTTTGCGTATTAATGCCAGTGAGCGCCCACGAAGCGCTCGATTGGATTCGTCGGAGGCAGAGGACGAGGGAGGAAAAGAGGAGGAAGGACTCGGAAGATTGTGCAAACGCGCGCGGCCGACATGACATCACCATCTTACGCGTTTCTGATCCGACGGTGACGCGGGGCTGATCCGCGCTCGGCTTGTTGAATTTTTACATTCCCGGTGTTGAGTTTTCCCATCCTCCGGTCTCATGCGTCGAAACCGCGCATTCCAACTACACGTATGCAAAAACAAGAGAAAGACAATGATCACGCCCTCGGAGGGAATCGAACCTCCGTTGTCCATTTACATTTCCCTTTTTCGACATTACGAGGAATGGATGATCACCACGATTGACGAGGGCTTTCTTACCCTCAAAGGACAGTGAAACGTACAAGCTTAGTATTGGAGCGCAAGGCACAAGTACTTACCGAATTTGCGGCAACTTTGATTTGTTTTTCGGTACATAGTATTAAGTACATACATTGTTTAGTTCTCCAGAAAAACTAGGCAGTTGAGGACATTCAGGGCGGGCAGCAGTGCTGCTACTGCGCACTCCAAAAAAAACATCCTTGCAGCGTTATGCCCTCGGAGGGAATTGAACCCACACTGTCCATTTACATTCTTCTTGGAACGTATAAGCAATGGATGATCCCCAGGGTCCACGAGGGCTTTCTTCCCTTCTAAGTGGTGTCAGTATGTAGGTGTGCAATTTGGTTCCACCTTGATTTTATCTCTCCTTTATTTGTCAACTACTTGTTTAATTTGACTGTTGAACCTGCCTGGTGCCAAAAAGGGCACGCACTGGAACAACAAGTTAAAAACTGCTATACACCTCGCCATGCCTCCGGAGGGAGTCGAACCCCCGCTGTCCATTTGCATTTAACTTTCGTGGAACCTGATAATAAGGCATGGATGATCACCACGATCCACAAAGGCTTTCTTACCTTCCAATTGCCCTCGATAGATGTGCGATAATCCATTCTGGTTCAACTTTGAACACTCTCTGTGTGTTGATGTCCCAGAAACACCTCGATCTAGAGTTGAGTCAAACTTGGTTCAGGCCCGGGTTCGCCACTGAACAACGGGCAGTACAGCAACAGGCTTGAAGCTTGACTAAAAAAGCTTGAACCCTCAACTATGCCCTCGGAGGGAATCGAACCCGCTCTGTCCATTACATTCAACTTCCTCATGGAAATCTTATAAGGAATGGATGATCACCACGATCCACGAAGGCTTCCTTCCCTTCTAAGTGGGTTAATAGGTGTGCAACTTTAAAGCCTAAGTGCGCAAGCATACATACTCACGTTGAATTACATTCAACTGCTTTGTTCGGTGTACTTTACTGTTTATTTCGAGTTGTCCTAAAGTCAGTTAAAACTCAACCTCAGAGTCGCTGTTGGCCATGGCCATGGTACGCACCGACTGAATCTGCGGTAGTAAGGACCACCAAAGAAAAATGTGCGCAACATATACTCTATGCCCTCGGCGGGAATCGAACCCTGGCTGTCCATTTACATTTATTGTTGAGAAACTGTCTATAAGGAATGGATGATCACCACGATCCACGAAGGCTTCCAACCGAGGTCAATATGTAGATGTGCAAAATTTAGTTCTACATTGATTTTCTCTCTCGTTTATCTGTCAACTACTTACTTATTCAAACCTGCCTCGGTGCCAAAATGGGCACGCACTGGAACAACTTCCAAGTCAAAAAGTGCTTTGTGCCTCGTCATGCCTCCGGAGGGAGTCGAACCCCCGCTGTCCATTTACATTTAACTTTAGTGGAACCTGATAGGTAATAAGGTATGGATGATCCCCGGATCCACGAGGGCTTTTCTTTCTCTGACGGTGGGGTCAATAGGTGTAAGTGCAACCTTGGTTCAACTTTGAAATTTCTCATACATTACCTTTACCTTTCCAGATACACACTTGAGTCACGCTGAGGGGTAGGGAGCACTAGTGTTCCCCGCAAAAAGGGTAAGTGTCCCGCTACTGCCCACTGGACTACTGTACCATTACATTCAAATCAACAGTCATGTGTCACGCACCCCCCTGTCGATATCGAATTATGGTCGTGGTCACATGTTACGGAGGCCGGTGTCAAATAGGTCCAGTGGTTCGTCAAGCCGCCGAAAAATCGCGGAAAACAGCCTAGAAAATTGCCGTGACTCCCTAATCTTTCTAAGTGTGTGTTAAACAAGCTCCTGGGCTATTTGTACCCGCAACTCTGAAATTTGAGCATGTGGTTGGGTTTCCAACCTAAAATCAACCTAAAATGGCCTGGGAACGAAACTCAAAATAGGCATTCAATGCACTGTGCAAATGTTTCTGTGTCATCCCAAGAAATTACCCTCAACAGAAGGGTAAGATTTGGGGCCCATGTCGAAAATTTTCCCTTGTCACGCGGCTTTCGGGGGTTGTCGAAATGTCGAATTGGTCGAACCAGTCACGCGTCACACCCCCTGTCGATTTGAACGTAATGGTACAGTACCTTCAAGTCGAAAAACCCCCGACTCAACTGCTTTATGCCTTTGGAGGGAATCGAACCCTCTCTGTCCATTTACATCGTTTGTATCCTTAAATGAGGGATGGATGATCACCACAATCTACGAGGGCTTTCTTACCCTCTAACTTGAAGTGGGGTCAATAGGTGCATGATTTTTGTCTAACTTTGAACCTCCTCTGCTTTGTCACGGTGTGGTGATGTTCCAGAAACATGATATTCTTGCACCACAACAGGTCTCCAAAGGAAGAATGCAAGAAGAAAGGCCAATGACTGGGTGCTGCTGCCCACCGGAATACCATCAAGTCAAAAAGCTTGCACCACGTGATGACCATGCCCTAGCAGGGAACCGAACCCAGGACCCTTGTTCATCGCTGTTATATCTGCACACACAGATTTCTTTTTCCCGATAATCGGTTCCGGTCGCACTCAAAACCACTACCGATTGTGCTCCCGTCACCTCTGTGCACACTTCATCAACCACCAGCAAGGCTCTCACCAACTCCCGACGATCATGGTCCCACTATCTCGGAATCCGAGTCTTCGCCCGATGAAGTATCACTCAATGCTCACCTCCTCGGTTCGGCCATAACTGGCCTCCCTCCTCGTCTTGACCACCTATTGGCCGCTCTCGCCACTACCATATCATTACGATCTTGGATCCAGTCCCACGATCCCAACTGAATATGCCCAGCTTGACCTAGATCATACTTCGCTTCATTTCCGATCCCCACGTTCATTACACCTCCTCGCCTCGGCCACCCCTGGCCTCACCTCATCCTCCCGTTCACCCACTGGCCATTCTAGTTCACACTGGAACCTCTGGACTTGTCACCCAGCACTGGTCAGTCCCCTTCGGTTCATCTGAATCCCCTCGGGTCCATTCTCCTGCTATATTTGGTACTTGCTCAGTCCCGCGAACCAAGTCTGGTACTCCCGAAGCTCCTCGTGTCAACCCGAGCCTTCGCGTGCTGATTACATCATCTTCCGACCTCGGCCCGACTCGGCTCAGCTCACTTAGTCATCGCTTTGCCTTGCACTGCCTCGGGTATGCTGCAATACAAGAATCTAGCATTCCCGAACCTGCTCGCGCAAACCCGAGTCGTCCCGACCCGATCGGGTATCGATTACGTCATCGCCCGATCTCGCCTCGTCTCGCCTTGTGTCGCCTTCGCTTCGCTTCACCTCGCGTCGCCTTGTGCATGCTCCATTACACATAGGCAGCCATGCGAACACTGTTCCGAACCTTCGGCCTAGTCTGTAGTTGATCGCGCCCTGGTTGAAGGGTAGGTTGCTTATTACCAATCTTTTGGCAGGTGATTACAAATCACTTTCCCCCTCCCTTCACACTGCTCCATAGAACCTCCAGCAGTGAAAGTTCAAATAAATCGGTATACTTCATGACCCTATGGAGGTATCTGACTCCTCAGAAGATTTTTTTTCATCCACCTTTGAGCGTGAACCAGGATCTCGGCTTTGGCGCTTGCCGTCGGCATGCCGCGCATCAAATCTCGGCATCTTATTCTTGAAGCTTCCCAACTACATTTTGCTGGAGAGAACACTTGGGTCGATGTCCTGAATGTCGGGGAGGCCGTAAACTGACGAAAAACGCGTCAAAGGGGTCACCTCAGCATCCGAGAAAATTCATGATTGGTAATAAGCAGACTAGCGATCAATTGATCGCACTAGTGAACAGACTACAACACGCGAGGTACGAGCAAGATTTGTTGTAGCGTCTGTCTACGAGAGACTACCTTCGGCCTCCTGACATTCATTACCAGTACCTTGGAGCCATTCACCCCAACTTCCCACGGTACCACTCAACCTTGGTACTTCTATGCATCACTCTCACCTATGCCAATATCCATATCCGACACTCTCGCACAACTCAGCTTCGCCCGATGTTCCGATCCTCCAGTCCGAGTTTCCCAAACATCGCTCGCCAATGCTCGCCTCGTGTGTCCTTCATGCTTATCACTCTTCTCTCTCTATCCATCCATCTCTCCATATGCTCTCTTCCTTCTCCTCTATATATCCCAGAACTAACATCTTATCTCTCCTTCATCCATCTATCTATCCTTCTATTCACACATTCTCGTCTTTCCTTTCTTGTCGCTTACCTTGTTCTTCACGCTCACTTGATACATTCCTCCACATGGTGTACTTGCCTCATGGCTTGCCTCATTGCATCCTCATTGCATCCTCATGTACTTATTCCCACCTGTACTAATTACCCGACTCTAGTATTTAAACCTCTACTTTACATCTTGTACACTATCCTGAAAATACATGTTATTCCATGGTTCTCTGCATGGTCTGATGTCACTTCTGTCTTGTGCGCTATGACCTCGCCTTGGTCCTCTCTCTATCTCCTCGCTCCGACTTCCCGTCGCTCATCTCGGGAACTTCCCAAGCTCGGACCTCGGCCCTTTGCTCGGTCATTGCCAACAACTCCAACACACACCTGAGTTGTTCTCTCCTGCTTTGGATACACCTCTAGTCTCCTCTCGGCTCGTTATCGCTATCACCCTGATCCGAATCGGGTTGATCCTGATCGTTCCGATCTCCCCAATCCGGTTCGGGTTGACACCTCTCCCGTCGATCTCTCTCGGGCCTTCACTGGATGACTACTCGCAACTATCGGCTATACTCTTGTGTCACTGATCTCGGCTATCCTGTCCTCTTGCCTCCCCCCAGCGATCTCCTCGGGCTCGGCTTAGGACACTCCCCTTCTCGCAGCCAGAGGCTAGTCAGTCGGTCACCCTTACTGAGCTGTAGTGTTCCGAGAATGGCTGATCTTTGACATCTGATCACCCACCGGTTCATGGCTCGACTCCGTTCTGGCATTCCGATTGGATATTCCTTCCCTCGTGGCTCAGTACACAACAATCACTTGATAGGTTGGATACCGATTTAGGGCATTTTGAAAATTTTATCCAAACTTTCGTTCGTGGCCGCTGCCAAAGTTTTATCCGAATTCTGCTTCCAGTCAAGCTTTTGATTCCAAAAACTTATCCGAACTTTGCCTCTGACCTGAAGTTTTTGAAGTTTTCAGCAGTTTTTTGTCGAGAAAAGTCCCCGCGGGGCTTCCGAATCGTTCAGCGACCTTGCATGGCACTAGTTCGTCCATTTCAACGACTCGCGATGAGGGAAATCTTGAAAATTCGCTACTGTCCACTTTCGAGATGCCGAAAAAAACCTCCTCATCCGAACTTGCATTCGACCTGACACCTGAGACCCCCACTTTTATCCGAACTTTCCTCCAACCTCGGGGCCCCAGATCTAAAATTTTATCCGAACTTTGTATTCGACCTACCAAGCAATAAACAAGGGTCCTCCGAACCCGCACTGTCATTTATATTGGGTTCAGAATCCGAAATGTGTCACAGACAAAGCCCTGGTAATCTAATCTCGTCCAGCTATACTGAGATAG